CTAGTAATAGCTTCACCCATCGAGAGGTAGCGCTTGGCTTGTTGCCTATTCAATAAGTTTTTTAAATTATCTATCGATTGATATCTCTAATAACCATATATTTATTTATATACTTTAATAAGTTCAATAAGAAATATTAAAATATATGTGTCTGTGCTCAGGGGCCACAGCTGATTTAGTCGATTTTAGAGCCAAGTGCCAGGTCTGGGTATTAAACAACCAACAATTAACAACACTAATATAAGTAATCGAGTTTCATAAAATTTAAATTAACCTGTTGAGTTCACGACTCAAATTCATAACTCGAGTCGCGACTCAAATTCATAACTCGAGTCGCAACTTGAGTTCACGACTCAAGTTCAGAACTCGAGTTGTAAAAATGAGTCGACTAATTGAGACTCGGAGTCGAAGTCGGGAGAACTCGACTATTTAACAACACTAACTAAGACTATTAGTGCAATAAAAATGGACTTGAGAAAGATTCGATTGTGGAGGTTATCCATCGATAAAATGATACTCCCCTTTAAAGGCCGATGTGAATTTAAGCAATATACTAGTTCAAAACTCATAAATGGGAATAAATATTTACGTTTAATGTTGATCGGTCATCATCATATCAATTATTGGTATAAATCACGAATGAAAATATGATCGGTATTAGATAAATCCTTTCTCAATGTCGAATTCCGGTCATAGTTCAACATTAATGGTTGTATGGGCATTGTGGATTCCAGGATGTGTTAATTAAACTGCAAAATTATAAAATGGAAACGTTTCATATACGAGTTTTCTTCCATTTATTAGATTCATGTGTAGTGAATTTGTGGTCTCTCTATAGGAGGCATATGAAACAGAAAAATAGTAAACGTATACCCCTTATTAGTAGAGCTCAAATAGATAAAGGATTGATGATGTCTGGAAAGGAAAATGATAGAAAAGAAAGTAGATATACTTGGAATTGAAAAAAAGAGAAATTGAATAGATTTTATCCAATCAAGCATAACATTTGATAACGGCATTTCCCATCACCATCTATTCAGGTAAGTTATAAGAAATGCAAAAATGATTATTCCTGATTTGAATTTATAAATTGTAAAATATCTAAATGTTTAAATAAAAATCGCAACTGTTTTATTTCTTATTCAAAATAAATTGTAAATTTTCTATATTTTTTTACTTATAACTCAAAGATTCCAAAAAATAATTATATATATACTTAATTTAATAAAAAATCGTTAAAAATGTATTGATTGTGTCTTGTTTAAGCAAATTTTAAGACATATTTTTTTTTATTGTTCACACAGCATAAAAAGTCGGGCCAGAAAGGGATAGAATTTTATGATTATTAGTTTCTATTTCATTCAATTAAGTAAAATTATTCAAGTTTAAAAATTGCATTTTGGGCTACTATTTCTAAAATCAAAAATAAAAGATTATTCAAATTTATATTTTTTTTTGAATTGATGAAAATAAATGAATATATAATAAAAATAATAACATAAGTTGGTGGTTGTATCAGATTGTCTATACCACAATACTTGTGCCTTTTATTTATTCAAACAAAATTATTTCTATTCCTGAAAGAAAGAATTGATTAGATTTCAAAATAAAACAAATTTTTTATAAACTTCTAGAAACCATGATAGAAATTTTGGGAGCAAGGCAGAATGACATTTTTTGCAAATGCATATGGCAAAACTCATTGCGATAGTTTAAGAGGCATTACTAAGAGGTAAACGGCTAGAGAAATCCTGCTATGTCCTTTTGAAAATAATATGCCAACACTTATGAATTTATAAAATTATGCAAGAATTAATATCATGGGGATTAATTATCGTCAGCAACATTGATTATTTAAGCATGGAAATATAAACTAATCTAAAAAATACATTTTAAACCTGTTAATGACCAAGGTATCAGAAAACATTTTAAAAAATTTAATTTAATTTTCTTAATACATTAGTATTTTATATATCAAAACAAATATTTCATTATATGATTATTTCATTATATGATTATTTCATTATATGATTATTTTAATATTCCAAAAATCAAACATTTGGAGGTAAGTTTATTTTTTGATACTTTTTTTTCATTACTTTTTGATCCAATAGACATTTTTCGTTTCAATTTATGCAGATTGTCCTGTACAATTAAACTTTTTCCCTAGTATTCTCATAAATTTTTAGAAATAAAAAATCTTAGAATAATGCATGTTCTTGAAGGGAGTTGATAAACTTACGCCAAGTGGCCTATTAGCAAGAAATAAAAATTATATTTTTTTTCTTATTTATATGCATTTTCCGAGTCGATAAAAAGTTACTGATATATTAACGAGGTTGATTTCCTACCCAATATTTTTTGGCCAGGAAAATGGATGTATAAATAATATCGTGAAGAAATTCAATTACCCCAGAAATTAAATAAAAGTGTTAGACCATTAGGATTTAGTATTGGATTCACAAAGAAGTACATTGACTTTATTGTTAAATTATATAGAAAAGATATAATTCTAAAGAAAATCTTATAAATAAAATGTTAAAATTTCATAGACACAATAATTTAATTACAACATATGATGTTGGCTATCAAGAACAAGATCTTAATTCCCGAAACTTTGTTGACCCAATAGTTCCTACCAAAGTAAATTGGATAGACAAATTTATAAACCCTTTTAATTAGATGATAAAAAAATTTCTATGCCTTTTGAAGGATCTTCAAGGGACCTAGTAGACTTTGTACACTCAGACTCAAAGTAAAAAAATTGTAAGATTTTGTAATTATTTACAGTTAATTGTAATTCTTATAAATCGTGATTAACCATAGATGATTCACTCGTTAAAATTTTCAACATATATTTAAACATTTTTATAATCCAACTACCAATATTTGGAGGAAATATCATGCTTCTCGCTTAAATTTAGTGTCAGCTGAGAAGAGAGTCCTCCATAAAATAGGAAGGGTGCAATGCTCCATCACAGTTGGAAACAATTGAACCAAATGGGAATTGTTTTTACTGGTAATTTAAAAATGATAAAAAAATTTGCATGATGGGTTCATATTTTATTTTATAAATTATGGTTGTATTTTTTTTACTAATATTCATAAAATATGGTTTTGATTCCTCCATTACCTTAAATTTTAATGATTATATCTTATATTAATGAACATTATTTTTTAAAAAAAATTTAAATATGTTACTATTTCTAAAAACCAATCATGTTTTAAGAAAAATAATAAGATGTATGAAGATTACAGGAAAACAAGACTCCTATGGTTTGATTATTCACACATGATCTTGCTGATGCTGCAAAAATTGATAAAATATATAATATTATATTCAAGGTCAAAATATGTGTGAAGATTATGAGCAATGGTGTATAATCGATAAGGCAAATAAGAATGCTGAATGGGCAATGGATATTTAAATGCGAATTGTTGCCACATTTCTCAATACCCCGATAGTGGTGTATGTTAAGTATGGAGCATTTTGCTGGCATATGTATCTGCTATTTAAATATGATGATGAAAATATAAAAAAATTTGACCAAAATATTTATATTAACAATTCTGGATCCCATTTTCTTAATGTTATTTATTTTGAAAATTAATTACAAATCTTGATATTTTAGTTAATTGTATTTGTCTAATTTTTATGCACATTACTTTTTATTTATCCTATTTTGAGGATTATATATTACTAGCTAATAACCCGTCAAGAATGACGGGGTTGAGGGGTAATTAGCTAGTTTGTGTATAATCTATTTTATAAATATATTAAAATTTAGGAGAAAAAGAGGTAAATAAATTTGTGAATCATATTTCTGATTCATATATCAAAGGTAGAAAATTATAAATTGATTGGCAAAATGAAGAATATAATAACTAAGAGTACCAGAGCTCCCGTTGGTCAGCATTGCTGTTCACTCCCCACCGCGTGAAGGTGGGAGATGGGTTTTAGGGGAGCAAAGAGATGAAAAAAAGAATGAAAAAAAGAAGGTAGAAATATCAAAGAGACAAAGATGTGAAAAAAAAATTGTATAATACATGTTATACCTTAAGACTTGATAGTTATCATTCAACACACTCGCATTTGAAGCCATATAAAAAAGAAAATAATAAAAAATATACAATATCAATAATTTTACCAAAATTTAAGTATTAGATATTTCCAAAACTGAGGATGTAGAATAAGCATCAGTCTGGTATATCATCGCAATAAATCCTTAGCCCAAATTAAAATGTCTTGAATTTTTCTTCCTTGAATGTCAAAATTTGTATTTATAAAAGTTAAATTAAAATATTATTAATTTTACCAAAATGTAAGTATTAGATATTTCCAAAACTGAGGATGTAGAATAAGCATCAGTCTGGTATATCATCGCAATAAATCCTTAACCCAAATCAATCGAATATCAAAATCCATATATATAAAAGTTAAATAGTACCATTGTAAAATAAGATTATTTGGGGGTTCTTTTTCCTATTCCATGTCGAGGATGATGAAATGATAGACCAAGCACATATTGACTATTTTTGCTATGACTGAGAGACTTATTTAACACACTGATTCGTTTAAATCTAAAATATAATAGGAATATAAAAACAATAACCTCTTTTAGATCCATGGCAAAAGGAATAAATGTTTGGAATATATTCGAGTTTTTTTTGAAAAAATGTTACTTTTAAATATCCTTAATGGAAATAAGATATAGATATACAGTATATATATACTTATACCTGAAGGTAGGTAATATGGATGGTATTATATAATAGAGGTATATACAATATTTATATATATTTTTTTTCATTAAGAGCATGTCTAAAATATAATAAAAAGAAAAACAATTTTAAAATATACCTAGATCCATGACAAAAGTAATAAAAGTTTGGAATATCTTCAAACGTTATTTGAATTTTTTTTATAAAATATCATGGAAATAAGATATAGATATATGTGTATGTTTACTTATACCTGAAGGTATGTAATATGGATGGTATTATAAAATACAGGTATACACAATATTTTTAGTATATATTTTTTCATTTGAAAGCATATGTCCTTGCAAAAGCGTGGGAACAATCATAATTTTTATATTTTTTTTAGAGCAACGACTTAAGGCAACGTAAAGTTGTCCGTGTGAAAATACGGGTTCATTAAAATATAATCCTACATGATCAAAGGTTTGGCCCTGGCTTTTATTTATTGTGATAACAAATGCAGGAAGAATTGGAAATTGGCGACGTTTTAAAATAAAAGATAATTGTGATTCACTCGGAGTTAAATCAATGCGAGGAATTAAGACCCTGTAACCTTTATTGGTGCCTGTAATTATTTCGGCGTCCAAAAAATAATTATGCATACTTTTGATTATTAACCGGGTGCCATTACATAAACCTTTTGTGGGATTCATATTGCGAAGAAGAATAATAATTGTACCAACTTTTAAGGATAGTATGTGAGGTGGCATTCCAGAAGGTGTTAGGGAATGTAGAAATTCAGGTGGATAGTTGAGAGATTCATCTGTGTGATCGGAAACCAATGAATCAGAACTATAGTAAAGTCTTAAAGAGGATGGAAGTTTTGATATGATAGTGTTATTTAATGTTAATGCAATATCGTTTTTTGTAGTTAGAATTATGCGGCTAGATAAATAATCAATATTATTAAGTAAAAGGGAATCACCATATATGGATGATATTAGAGAATCTCCAAGCATAGATAGGGGAATTTCTATATAGTCGGAAGGAAGGGGGGAAGGTAATAGAGGTGTTTTCCCTTCACCTATTTGTAGAAGCCATTTAATATAACTTTCCTCCTCAGAAAGAGAGCGCATATTATGGGTCAATTGAATTTGGTGGAAAACATGCCATAAATTTGAAGATTTAATACATGATTCGATAATATGTGTTTTAGAAGCCCTAGGTATAACTGGTAAAGTTTGCCAAAAATTTCCTCCTAATAAAATAACTTTGCCACCGAAGGGGGTATTTATTTGCATAATTTCCCTAAGTAAGGCATCTATACAGCGTAAAGCATGTTTTGTCATCATACTTGTATCATCTATAATTGTTAAATGGGCAAGTTTAAGTTCCTTAGCTTGTGTAGATAAAGGTCTCATACGTGAAACCGATGTGTCTAAAATAGGTATAGGAAGTTTAAAACCACTATGAATTGTTTTTCCACCAATTAGTAGTATGTGTAGTAGCAAATGGTAATACAATTTTATTTTGCCCTCTAAGATAATGTATTAAGTATTGTAAAGATAAGTTTTTCCTGATCCTCCTGGACCATCAAGATAAAAATATCTATTGGTACATGAAATATCTTCTATTGCGTGGATAATTAGCTCAAAAGCATATTTTTGTAAAGGATTTAAACTGGATAACATTACCAAAGCCTTAGCTGTCTCCGTTACTGAATCATATAATTTTGGTTGAAGAATAGGCTCAGGGATAGGGAGATTAAAATTGTTGCAATGTAGCCCGTGAGCATTAAGGGTATTAGAAATATCGTGTAAAGCTAAATTAATGGCAAGTGACTCAGAATTAGTGCGCAAGAAATCCTCAATTAGGCAAGATTTGAATTTATCCCAAAGAAATGCAGGATTTTGAGGTTGACCGAAAACGCATATAAAGGCAAAAGTATGCCTAAATTGAAAAGGCATTTGAAATAAGGATGTCTCCTCAAGACAATGCTCCCACTCTTTATCATCAGAAAATAAATGCCTTTTGAGCAGCCTCTTTAAAGGTATCTAGCAAAATGTCATCAACAGTTCTCAAAAAATCGAAGCTTGTTGCTCCAGGAACATGAAGAAGAAGTAGGCGTAGGTAAAACCGTTCTCCACATTTAATATCGGTAGAAAACATTCAGGAGATGATAGATTGATGGCCACGTTTTCTTTTTTGCCAGATATAATTGACAAAAACATAGTGATAAGGAATATCAATGTATAGATATTGTCTGGCGTAAGGATAAAATTGATTTAAGAGAAACCAAGCAGTAAGTGTAGTTTTATGTAAATTAGCTCTTTTGAAAGCCTCCCTTTCATCGCCCTGTTGAAAATAGACAGATTGTTTAAAAGGCATATGGAGAGCTAATCGAATAATGGCATGTGAACGATCATGCATGGGATACTCTAATAACCGCCACATCGCTTCACATGAGCTAACATACCGAGTGTTTAAATGACTTTTAATTTCATCATATTTAGGGGGGAGAGATTCTAAATTTAAATCGATATTTGCACAATCATAACCTTTATATGCGTATTTAAAAATATATTTTACTGATTTAACAGAAGTGCATATTTCAACATTGATATGAGCATTGTATTTTAAAAGTAAGTAGGTATTGTATGGAATAACAAAACGATTATCAACAGGTTTACCGGATATTAATATAGAACCTACATCCCTTCTTTTATATAGAGGATACCCATTAGTATTTGTTATTGTATCATTTATAAAATCTTTAGGAAAATTTTTAGTACATACGCCATTATCCATGCAAGGTGATCGAGGATTAAGAATGCCACATGGGCCATGAATCATAAAACGCGTAACAATGTTAAATAATTGTGAATTGTTAGTTCTATCTGGTATCTCGGCACATACAAATTTATCTATAGCCTCAGCGGTATCAATTTTATGCTCTGAACTTATAATGAACAACAAATGGGCATGAGGTAATCCTCTTTTTTGAAATTCAATTGTATAAACATATGCCAATGTTTTCCCGAACATGTTATTTTTAGTGATATCAGATAAAAAAGCAGCTAATTTAATTTTAAAAACTCTAGAAACTATATCAGGTCTATCGGCAGGCGTTTGACCGTTAAAAAGATTTTCGGATATTTCGGGCCATGTTGGGTTGCAAGTAAAAGTTATAAAAAGATAGGGTTTGCCATATTTTAAGACGATAAACATTGCGTCGTGATAACGCTCTTGCATGTTTCTAGGAGAACCTTGAAAAGAAGATGGTAGAATAACTGCCCGTGCCCGTCCTATAGGTATATTAATATTATTGGAAAAATCGGAGGCTAAATAATCCATTAGTCCTGAATATTCCTCAACGCGTAATTTAGACTGATTATATGAAATTAAGATTATTAGCTTCAACTTGTAGATAGGAATCTACAATATATTGTTGAGTTAGCCTCCCGGAATTAAGAAGGGGGTTAAAAATATTTTGTCTAACCGCTAAACGGGCAATTTTAAATTGTAGCATGGATATTTTTGAACGCCCAGAATTTTCAAAGCCTTCAGCAATCATATTAGGCTGCCAACCTGGATCTCCATGAGGAAATAGTACAGGGTAAACCATTAGGTCTAAATTAGGGCTTAATACGTTAAGAATTACTAAATTATTTCCATTGGATCTAGGATACACTTTTATATCTCTCTTAAAGGGAGGTTCCCCATCATCATTTGTAAAAATCATTGCTACGTCATCAATTGTAGGAAAATTATACCGCCTACGGTCGCTAGAACGATCTCCGCTAAAAATCATTGCTACGTCATCAATTGTAGAAAAATTATACCGCCTACGGTCGCTAGAACGATCTCCGCGAAATATCATATTAATCTTTGGCAGTAATATATTTGAATGTTCTGCAAGGGATAACTCAGCTTTCTCAACTTCCCCTAAGGTTTTGAAACTTAAAGCATAGGGATTAATTTGGCGTATAAGCTGATCTAAATGTCTCATGATATTTATGTCACAATCAGAATTGGCAGGGTGCTGAAGACGTCCTGCAATGGCCTGAGATGTATCCAACACATATAACTGAGCAAATTTAGGCAGAATATCAGTCTGGGGATATAAATGCGATGTGCGATGATAAATTTGCCCATGAACTTTAAAACAATAAGGTCCATTACCTGATAATTCTGAAATTTGTGCTCCCATACTGGCGAAGGCGATCGCACTATTATAAGATCTAATATGATGCATGAAATTTTTGTACAAGGGATCTAAGGAGTTAGATAAGAGATTTTTTAAATAATCAGGATATGGTGATTGAGTAATTTTGACTTTACCTTTATGACAACAATGGGTAAATCTACCATCTGAAGGTCTTTCAGCTAAAAATTTAAAGATTGACAAAATTGGCATAATATATTCATAAGGCCACAGGTATGTTGCTCCACTAATGGATTAATCTTAGGTAAAATGTTTTGAAATTTTTTTTTAAATCTTCTAGAGCAAGCGAGAATCATATCAGATTTATCCTATAATATTATAGTATTATAGAATAGGTATTAACTGTCTAAAAAATAAAATACCTTTTTGAAATGAGATTAGTTGGAGTTTGTTTGGATATAATTATAGATGTATTTATATTATTTTTGATCCTTTTCGTGTGAGATTTAATTGGAGGTATATGAGAATTTATATTCTCCATTGTTATTCTTATCTATATAAAATAATATAGCTCACTTAAAAAAAAATATATAAATAACATTGTAAAATCAAAATAATAGGATAAAATAAATGGCAAAATTTTAAAAATAATTATCAATAAATGCCCTAATTTTAAAAATAATTTTCAAAATTATTAACAATAAATGCCCAAAAAATAAAAAATATAGACTAAACTTTAAAAATATCAGCTAATATATAAACCTGAAAACAGCAAAATGTTTACCACAATTTGAATATTTTTTTATAATTCCAATAGATGTGCAAAATTTTACCTACAGGCCTCTGTAATAAATATCTTTGCTTTACAAACTATATTAGTAAGTAGATTACAATAAAATAATTATGTTTACCACAATTTGAATATTTTCTTATAATCAATATATGTGAAAAATTTTACCTACAGGCCTCTGTAATAAATGTCTTTGCTTTACAAACTATATTAGTAAGTAGATTACAATAAAATAATTATGTTTATCACAATTCCAATATATGTGCAAAATTTTACCTACAGGTCTCTGTAATAAATGTCTTTGCTTTACAAACTATATTAGTAAGTAGATTACAATAAAATAATTATGTTTACCACAATTTGAATATTTTCTTATAATTCCAATATTGCTTTGCTTTACAAACTATATTAGTAAGTAGATTACAATAAAATAATTGGACAGTAAATTATTACTTACCATAATTTGAAAATTTTCTTATCCAATAATAAATGAAAATTAAAGGCAAAATTTAAAAAATAAAAACTGATTGTTAATTTAAATTAAATATATATTTATTATTATCGTAAAATAAAAAGTTGAAGGGGGCTGCGTTGAAAGAACGTTTACCTTCCAGTCGTGAAGTCGCGAGTTCGAATCCCGGGGATGGCAAAAAAAAATTTAAAAAATATATATTTATTATTATCGTAAAATAAAAAGTTGAGGGGGGCTGCATTGAAAGAACGTTTGCAAAAATTAACATTACACTATATAGTCTCCTTAAATTTTAAATACATTAAGGAGATACGAAAACGATCATCACGTATTTATGGAGATTAAATTAACATTACACTATATAGTCTCCTTAAATTTTAAATACATTAAGGAGATACGAAAACGATCATCACGTATTTATGGAGATTAAATTAACATTACACTATATAGTCTCCTTAAATTTTAAATACATTACGGAGATACGAAAACGATCATCACGTGATTATGGAGATTATATATATTAGATAAGCATATTTTAATCAATAAATATATTAGAGTACACATAAAGATATAATTTTTAATCATGCCCATTTTTTATATACATTTCATTACAACAGCATATTACAATTTATTGTGTTTACTTTAGATTAATTTCTATTGCTTATATAAATTTCTCCATATTTTAAAAATAAATTTGGAGATTTTTTTAAAATCATTAACTCAAAAATATTAAAAATTTAGTATATAATACGATTATCCTTTTTTTTAATAAAAAAATTGCCACCAAATAAGATTTAATAAAATGTTAAAATTCGTAATGAATTTTTTAAAGGCAAAAATTTTTGCCAAAATATATAAATTTTACCAGTTTGAAGTAATTTAAAAAAAAGTTAGGGATAAGTATAGATCAGTTTTTTATCTATAAATATAGCCAAATCTACTATGACAAATTCAAACAAAAGAAGATCACCTAACTAGAAACCCTGAAGAACCATAAGAATCTCAAGAAGTCTGTTAGAAATTGGTATAAATATTTTAATAGTTCATAAGTTTTTAAAATTAAAATAATTTTGGTAAATTATTTAAGAACATTATGGGGCCCAAAGTAGTTGAGATTTGGACTTACCTCATTAAAAGTAATTTATTTTTTCAAACTTATTCAAAAAGATAATTTATAAATTTTAACATAATATTCAATATAAAATGAGCAATTGTTTGTAAATTTGAAGCTTGCTAGGGATTGTTGTGTTTCAATTTTATAGAATTTACAAGGTAAAAGCTTTAAAGTAACCTTTATATAGTGTTGTTAAATGGCTCGTTTTGAGCCGATTTTTAAAAACGGCTAGCTCAATATTTCGTCCAGAAAAATATTACGCAAGCCTCAAAATTTTGCTCATAGAAGGAACAAAGGTCTAGGCATATATTTTCGAAATCTCGAGACTTAGGCAATATTTTTCTGGCTAAAATATTGAGTTAGCCGTTTTAAAAAATCGGCTCAAAATGAGCCGTTTAACAACACTACCTTTATAATAAGATATACATTATAATTTAAAATGTATTTCATTATATTTAATCTTTTATCAATCATTCTAAATTTCTTAATTTACTGCCATCTTATTTTAATTTATATCAAAAAAACTATTATTATCTGGAGTGACCAAAATTTAAAAAAAGATATATAACATACTACTGAAAAGCTGGCAATAGATATCATTATACCTTAGAATAATCTGATTTAAATAATGTTAATATAAAAAAATAATAAATTAATATACAAGATATGGTTAAGGGCATCTTGTTAACAAAACATTAATATTCATAATACTTGATTAAATCTGTTGAATATATTATTACTATCATTATTACATTGTAGATTTTAATATCTATATAATTTTCAAATCAATTTAATCTCTTTAACCCAAAAGTATGAAGATATTTTATTAATATAAGCCTTGCAATAAGATTCTAAATATGAAATTGATAATTTATTTCCCATAAATTTTCGGTATATTAATTTATTCCAGGTTTTATGGTCTACGTATTTATTTTTGCTAAAATATAATTCATTAAATATTACCAATATAGCACTATATGTACTAGGATTAGTTGAATGTTGCTTTTATACAAGTAAATTATAATGGAAAACAAATGTTTAAATATCTATATTATTTAACTTCGTTACGATATCTTCGCAAACTTTTTATCAACTCGGTATATGCGTATAAATAAGGAAAAATATAGCCTTTATTTCTTGCTAATAGGCCCATTTGGCGTAAGTCCATCATTTCCTGTTCATGAATACTAGAAATAATACCTGTTAATTTTCTTGGGACTTTTCACCAATTCTCAGTGGGGCCACAGCCTTTTTTTAATTAATAGATTATAAAACAAAATAATTATCTAACGCCAAAGTTCATGTTCAAAAATCAAACATTAGGGATTACTGGGAAACAGCAAAACGATTTCCCGGAGCACAAAAATTTCATATAAAAAAATGAAAGTCAAATTATATTCAAATGTATTAGATATTTTAATGTATGATATATGATATTATAATATGGATATAGGTATATAAACAATTTGTAAATAAGATTATAAATATTTATACAATTATTTTTGTAAAATAAATAGCTAAAATTATGGGGTATGACTAAATACTGAATTGCTAAAATGAATTGCTAAAATGAATTGCTAAAAAGCAATTAATCATAATCAATCAAAATTTTATTATGTATATTTTATTTAATGAAAATTTTTAAAACTTATTTTAAAATATACTTAAATTATTTTTTTATTAAATGAAGGATACAGATTAAATATCATATAATATATAATTTTATTTTGAGTTAATATTATTATAAAAGAAATATTTTCATAGCTTATTAAAACATAAATAAATTTTTTTCAATTTTAAAAATTAACAAATATATATCCGTAAGAGGGCGTTATATGCGTAAATATGTAAGTATCATTTTAGGAAACCGGAATGATGATTGGATAGCGATTTGGGTATATATACATATGAAAAACCTAAAAATTAAAAAAAAAATTTAGGTTTCTCTGATGTTTAATTTATGAGTAGGTTTAGAATAGTAAAATAATGGAAATTTTCTAAGGTAAATATTGCTGGCGTTATTTATCAAAATCTCTTAATTTTTGTTTTATATGTGTATATTTACGTGCTAAGCATTATCCTAAAAAATTTTTTGAAAATATTTTGATTTGACCGATTGCCGAGCTCAAAACCGACCACTTACTAAATATTCGATTGACCAAATTTACTAGTAATATAATTTGAAAAATGTTGATTTTCGTATTATATATCTATAAATACGTGTAAAACATAATTCTAAAAAATATTTTTAAAATATCGCTATTTGGCGGATAACCGACTCGTAGCCCACCCAATGACTAAATAATGAATTGCTGGCGTTTTAAATCAAAATATCTTAATTTTTGTTTTATACGTGTATATTTACGTGCTAAGCATTATCCTAAAAAATTTTTTGAAAATAATTTGATTTGACCGATTGCCGAGCTTAAAACCGACCATTTACTAAATATTCGATTGACCAAATTTACTAGTAATACAATTTGAAAAATGTTGATTTTCGTTTTATATATCTATAAATACGTGTAAAACATAATCCCAAAAAATATTTTTAAAATATCGCTATTTGGCGGATAACCGACTCGTAGCCCACCCAATGACTAAATAATGAATTGCTGGCGTTTTAAATCAAAATATCTTAATTTTTGTTTTATACGTGTATATTTACGTGCTAAGCATTATCCTAAAAAATTTTTTGAAAATAATTTGATTTGACCGATTGCCGAGCTTAAAACCGACCATTTACTAAATATTCGATTGACCAAATTTACTAGTAATACAATTTGAAAAATGTTGATTTTCGTTTTATATATCTATAAATACGTGTAAAACATAATCCCAAAAAATATTTTTAAAATATCGCTATTTGGCGGATAACC